AGCGATTTTAAACAACACTTTTCTAAGTCTTGTATATTATTATTCATTCAGTATTTAATGAGTTCATATAAGTTCCTATTGATGGTCTTCTTTGTATAGTTTTTGTTTATCTATATTAACATTTGTGCATTTGGCAGATGCATTTATCCCAAGCAACATTTGACCAGTTCATGCAATCCCTGGGAGTCGAACCCGTGATCTTAGTGTCGCAAGCACCATGTTCTAACGCTTGAGTTACAGGAAAGCTTTTCACTCAGCAGTCTTCTTGAGCTAAACACTTCAGCATCACTCAAACTAAACTACCTGTATCAACTAATCACAGCATTTGATTCCTTTATTTCTCAGGTTTTTGATTGGTAACACCTTAGAATACTGTTCCAACATTAATGAATAACTACAAAGGAACAAATGACTAATGCACTATTAACATTCTAGTAACTACTATTAACTAACAAGAAACTCTGATTAACGATTTAGTAAGTAATAGCGCTCAGTTTAAACTGGTAGTTCACTATTAGCTAGTCAATAACTAAAAAAAATTTCATATATCCTGGAGAACTACTAAGAACTACTGTATACAGGTTCATAATTAATGTGAATTATGCATAATGTATAATTAATTCTAAAGTGAAGATCATGGTAAGCCACTAGTAATGACTCAAGTACTATCAAATCCTTCTAAAGGAGCTACTGATTATTTGGATCAGTATTCTAAAGTGAAAAGCATGACAACTAATATTGGCTGACGTCATTGTAAGCTTTTGAGATGTACAGGTATGTAAGGTTTTGGATAGTAATGACTTAAGTGTTACTACATTCTTCTGAAGAAATTACTAATTATTTGGATCAGTATTCTAAAGTGAAGATCACAGTAACCCACTAGTAATGACAAAAACCTCAAAAGCTTACAATGATTTCAGTCATTACTAGAGAATTAATCATGTTATTCACTTTAGAATACTGATCCAAATATTAGCAATTCCTTCTGAAGTATTTGGTAATACTTTAGTCATAACTAGTGGGTTACCATCACCTTAACTTTAGAATTAATTTTACATTATGCATTATTCATATTTATTATGAACCTGTTCTTAGTAGTTCTTGGGGAGGTTTGAAAAAATTATAGTTACTGATTAGCTATTGCTACAAATATCCCCCAGAGACTTAACACTGCTTTTGTGCTGCAGGCTCACATATAGATTTTGGACACCGGAGGGTCAGACAGCGGCTCCTTCCGGAACAACACGCAGATTAAATGTTTTCGTCCCATAGCTCTCCATACCGCTCTGCTCTACCACTATAGAGAGCCCAGCTTCACAAAGCTCAGTCCACATTCCAGCCGCCTACAGGGCGTTCCAGGACGTGTTCAGCAAGGTCACGGTAACCTATCTTCCACCTCATCGGTCATGGGACTGTGCGATCGACCTGCTTCCTGGGGCCAAATTACCTAAGGGACATGTCTATCCCCTATCGATCCCGGAGCACGCTGCCATGGAGGAGTACATCAAGGAGGGATTACATCAGGGGTTCAACCGTCCTTCCACTTCTCCTGCAGCATCCAGTTTCTTCTTTGTGGCGAAGAAGGATGGGGGCCTACGTCCTTGTATTGACTATCGAGCACTCAACTCACGAACCATCAAATTTTCCTATCCACTCCCTCTGGTGACAGCTTCGTTGGAGAACTCCGTAGTGCCCGGATCGTCACGAAACTCGATCTACACAGTGCCGGCAATCTAATCCGCATTCGAAGAGGAGACGATTGGAAAACTGCATTCATAACACCATCTGGGCACTACGAATACCTGGTTATGCCGTATGGCCTTTCAAACTCACCATCCATCTTCCAAAACTTCATGAATGAAATCTTCCGTGATATGCTCAATCAATTTGTAATCATCTACACTGACGACATTCTCATTTACTCATCCAATCTTGAGGAACACCAACAGCATGTTTTCCAGGTACTCCAATGTCTCTGTGAGCACCACCTTAGCCATATCACCCTGCAGTCCAAGACCGGTTGCCCACTGAAGCTAAGCAGGGTTGAGCCTGGTCAGTACCTGGATGGGAGACCTCATTGGAAAACTAGGTTGCTGCTGGAAGAGGTGTTAGTGAGGCCAGCAGGGGGTGCTCACCCTGTGGACTGTGTGGGTTCTAACACCCCAGTGTAGTGATGGGGACACTGTACTGTAAAAAAGCGCCGTCCTTCGGATGAGATGTTAAACCGAGGTCCTGACTCTCTGTGGTCATTAAAAATCCTAGGATGTCTTTCGAAAAGAGTAAAGGTATGACCTCGGCATCCTGGCCAAATTCGCCCATTGGCCTCTGACCATCATGGCCTCCTAATAATCCGCATATCTACTGATTGGCTTCCTCACTCTGTCTCCTCTCCGCCAATAAGCTGGTGTGTGGTGGGCGTTCTGGCGCACTATGGCTGCCGTTGCATCATCCAGGTGGATGCTGCACACTGTTGGTGGATGAAGAGATACCCCCTCACAATGTAGAGCACTTTGAGTGCTTAGAAAAGCACTATATAGATGTTATGAATTATTATTATTATTATCACCTCTACCTCAAGCAGGAAAAGTGTGAGTTCCATCTAACCACAATTCAATTCCTGGGCTACATTATCACACCAGAGGGAGTCCAAATGGACCAAAACAAGGTGGAAGCAGTGAGGAATTGGCCACAACCCACCACGGTCAAAGAGCTGCAGAGATTCCTGGGAAATTACGACATGGGTAACCGCAAATTACTGGCTATAAAACTCATGCTGGAAGAGTGGCGGCACTGGTTGGAAGGGTCTCAACATCCCTTCGAAGTCATAACTGATCACAAGAACCTCCAATACCTCCGTGAAGCTAAATGTCTTAATCCCCGACAAGCCCGATGGGCCTTATTCTTTACCCATTTCCGATTCACAGTAACCTACCGCCCTGGGCATAAGAACCTCAAAGCAGACGCTTTATCACGACTTCACCAACCAGATTCATCACCAGATAACCCGGAACCCCTTCTCTCACCCACAGTGTTCCCATGTCCAATCACATGGGATGTGAATGACCAAATTTGTGCCGTCACTCTAACAGAACCTGCTCCGCAGGGAGGTCTGGAAGGGAGATTGTATGTACCTACCACTCTATGTCTCACCCTTCTGGACTCCATCCACACTTCTCCGGGATCGGGTCACCCAGGCAGCCAACCAACCCTCTCGCTCCTCCGGAAAAGATACTGGTGGGCCAGCATGGCTCAGGATGTCGCCCACTACGTCAAGGGTTGTTCGGTCTGCACATCCACTCCACGCCATTTACCTGCAGGAAAACTGGTTCCCCTACCTGTTCCACGCCGACCCTGGTCCCACATTGGAATCGATTTCGCCACTGATCTTCCACCCTCTAACGGATTCACTACCATATTTGTTGTGGTGGATAAATTCTCCAAAACCTGTAAACTAATCCCCTTACGTGGATTACCCACTGCTTTGGAGGCAGCCAGCCGAAGCTCTCTTCCAGCATGTCTTTCGACACTTTGGTCTCCCTGAAGATATCGTTTCAGATAGAGGGCCGCAGTTCATAACCAGGGTCTGGCGTGGTGTCTTCCGTCTGCTGGGAGTGTCTGTCAGCCTTTCCTCAGGTTATCATCCCCAAACCAACGGCCAGACCGAACGCAAGATCCAGGAGATCAGGTGGTATCTCCGAGCCTACTGTCACGAACACCAGGACAGCTGGAACCAGTATCTTCACTGGGCCGAGTACGCTCAGAACTCGTTGCGAAAGGAAACGACTGGATGAACACCATTCCAATGCGTACTCGGATTTCAACGGCCACTCTTCCCCTGGACTGGAGAGCCCTCGGAAGTCCCCGCGGTTGACTTCTGGTTCCGTGAGAGCAAGAGGGTATAGGACTCAGCACATGTCCATCTCCAGCAGGCAGTTCGGAGACATAAAGACTATGCTGATGCCTGTCGCGCACCCATGCCTGTGTACCAACCAGGTGACGAGTTTGGCTCTCCACTCGGGATATTCATCTCTGGCTGCCCAGCAGGAAGCTGAGTCCCTGTTATGTCGGTCCTTTCCCTATCACAAAGCAAATAAATGAGGTCACATATGAGCTCCAGTTATTCATTGAGTGAAATGGTTTGGTGAACTCGAGCAGATGTCTGGTCAGGAGTTTCTCATTGTAATCTCCTGGTCATGTTAGTTGCACAGGATTGTACTCTGAACTTTGCAGGACAAGTGTGTGAATTAATCACGAATGTTACAAGTAATTGCTAGAAATCTCTGATCCTTTTTCAAACATTAATGTTTTCTTCTTCAATGTCTCAGATGGCTGGATCATTTCAACAAGAGCAGACAGATGGAGAACGTGTGAAGTTTGTGTGTGTGAGTGAGAGAGTGTGTGTGTGTTACTGGCACAAACTGACTCCGTTTGAGAGACACAGACAAGATGAGAAGGTCTGATTTTAAAGGAAACATTCATGTGAAGGAGAATGAGACCTAAACGGAGAAACAGAGCTGAGAGAAGGCACAACAAAACGAAAGAGCATGAGTGAACGGAGCACAAAGAGAGGGTCCTATCAGAGACGGGAGATGGGGAGAGACAGGAGACGAGGAGGGAGGAGGAGGTGTGATCTTTGGGTGGAAAAGCAGGGAATCCGCTTTGGGGGATGGAGGGAGTTGAGAAGAAAAAGACAAAGGCAGGCTGTCTTGGACAAAACACAGTGCTAAAGAGAGAGACAAATCACTAACACGCAGACATATTAGAATGATTGACAGAAACGAGGCAGGGAGGAAACTGATGAGAGGCAAACGGGGCGCTTTTAGATCAGGAGAGAGGGGAGAGAGAGGGAGAGAGAGAGAGAGAGAGCAAGCGAGGGAGAGAGGGGAGAGAGAGGGAGAGAGAGAGAGAAAGAGCGAGTGAGCGAGGGAGAGAGAGAGGGAGGGAGGTGGGAGGAGAGTGAGGCGGAGGGAGGCAGGGCTGAGCGCTATTTAAGTGTGGGAGCGGGGCTCAGCACCAGGCTCTGCACTCCCCGTGTGTGAAGGGAGTACAGACACACACACACACATACACACACACACACACGCTCTCCTCAAGCTCCTGGAGCAGAGATGTTCAGGGCCGCTCTCGTCTGCGCTCTGCTGCTGCTGTCGGCGGCCGCCGTGGATTTGGGAGGCTCTCCGTCCGGCTTCTACCCGCGCTTCAATCCCTTCTTCTTCTTGTGCACCCACCACGGTGAGATGGAGGGCCCCGGGGCCGAGGGAGGAGGAGAGGTGCTGCTCACCTTCCAGATCCACGGGAGCCCCGGCGCATATGTCCCGGGACAGGAGTACCAGGGTGAGTACTGAGCTCCGGCGGATCCGAGACCTCGTTAATACAAGGGGCATTCTCCTTCCTTCTGCAGTAAACTTGGGAAAGAGTACACACAAACGTTTAAAATGTGCTTCGCATCTCAGTGAAGTCAAAATAATAACATCGCTGAATCGAAACGGACATGGTAAATAAAACAAAGATTAGTGGAGTCATTTTACACTATTTCAGTCTTTCTACTTCAAAATGTTTCATTCAGTGTGTTTCTTTGTAATTATTTATCAAAGTAAATCCTACACCAGGACTTTTCAGGTAGATCAGGTTAAAAATGGCTCTTCAAGGTAATAATCGCAGGTGAACACTTTTTATCATTTTAAGGGTCTCTGTAACAGTGTTATTTCAGTATAATTTATATACTATTACAATTATACTAATATTTTGAATCAGCTTTTATTTTTATATTTTCTGTTTTTAGTTAAAGTCTTTTTTTTGTCATTTTTAGTAGTTTTTGTTTGTTTTGCATACATATCTGTGTCTATATAGTTTTTATTATTATTATAGTTTTATTATTATAGTAGTTTAGTACAGTTAAGTTAAATGAGAAAGAAATGTTGCCTCGGCAGCTAGCAGAAATATACATATTTTTAATAATTTATTTTATTTTGTTTAATTTTTAAAAAATGGTTTTAGTCATTTTAGTTGTCTGTTTTAGTTTTTAGGTAACTCTAACAACCCTGGTCTGAGAAAAAAAAAACTTTTAAAAGCACATTTCATTGCAGGTAAGGATGCAAAAGCACAGCTGCTGCGTGTGAAAACAGATTGCAGTCTGTGTGTGAGTGAGATGATTGTGTTTATGTAACTGAGCACAAGTATTGATGTGAAGTTGAACGGCTCTATTCCACTTTTCTCCGTTCTTCTGTGCCGTGTGATCCCAGCGCTCATGTGTGGGTGGTTTATCCTGAGGCCAAAACTGCTAGATTCTCACAAACAACTCACAAGAGCACAACAGGTGCAGCGCAGCCACAGTATATGTGAATAAGAGAGACACTCTCTGGATCAACACATTACACGCAACTCCTGTAATCAAGACAGTCACACTCTGCTCATGTAAACACAAAGCTGCAACATAAAGTGTAGAGGGATGCCACAGGTCTCGGTTTTCTTAATTTTACTGTCACAATATCTGAAGCGCTGGATGTAAAGCGTGCGAGAGCCTTCGTTTAAACTCTGCTTTCTGCTGGTGCTTTGATGCTTGTGAAGAGCGGCCGCTGTTCTTTGTGTGAGGAAAGAAGCGTGAGGTCTTGTGTTCTCAGCTTTATCTTTCTTATCCAGACCTGCGAGATCTTCAGGGACGTGTTGGTTCTCAAACACGCGCCTGCGTCTTTGTGCGTTCGGGGGTTGTGAGGATTCTGGGGATTAATGGGGATGGAAGGCTGAAAGACAAAGAGAACAAGCCAAAGTGCTGCACATTTATAGTGTGTCAACATTCTGGAAATAAATACGCAGATAATCGTGCTGAGAGACTGAACAGGACAGACAGAAACACGTTCACAGAAAACTTTGAAAAATAAGGTGGATATTTTAATCAGAATTACAGCGCTCTGTTGGTGGGACGCACGTGTGCTCATTGACTGAAGCCTGTGAAGTTTAACAAGACCACTGTCCTTTAAGCAGAATGGAAACACTCGTGTTACTTTTTAACATTTACAGACGGATACAAGCTGCAAATGTAAGTTATGTGCTGGGAAAACACAACTCGAAAGCATTAAAGCGCACTTGTGTCTGTGTGTGAGTGTGTGAGTGTGTGTGTGTGTGTGTGTGTGTGTGTGTGTGTGTGTGTGTGTGTGTGTGTGTGTGTGTGTGTGTGTGTGTGTGTGTCTGTGTCTGTGTCTGTGTGAGTGTGTGTGTGTGTGAGTCTGTGGACTACACAACGAACGTTGTTGATTATGAAACCAAAGCTGAGTAAACACAGTCTGTGTCTGTGTTTCTGTGTCTGTGTCTGTGTGAGAGAGAGAGTGTGGTTTGTTTGAATATGAGGAAGCATGTAAATAATGGCGAACTAATCATATGCCATTTAGTTATGTGTATGATGAAGCTGATAAAAGTTTAAATGATGACAATAAGAAATTATGCATTTTTCAAAATCAATTCTTTCTTATAGAGCCTGTTTTATTTAGTTTACTCATAAATGTTAATTAATGTGTTAAGTGTATCTAGCATGTAGATAAGGTGGCCGTTATTTACACATAGTTAAAGTTGAAGTTGCTCTTCAGTGGTTCTTTATTAGTTCATTAAAAGAGACAGACCATAACTGCACTCTCAGTTAACCTTTTTTTATTGTTACCAACGTTTGGGTGACAAGCCTATGTCAAGGAACAATTTTTACAAAAAGGAGAACAATATAAAAACAGGAAATACTAACAGGTGCTTTCACTAATGACTTGTTCATGTTGAAGTGAATATTCATTCAGGATCATGTACCCTTATTATAAAGTGTGAGTAGTCTTATTTTCATTATATTTCAATATTTTAACAGCTGGGGCATCTGCATTTGGATTACGCATATTCTGAATGCATCTTAGATTTACAAAAATTGTAGTCAGAGTAAAATGTAGTCTCTAATAAAGTTTTTTTTTGTAAAAATAAATAAGTGAGGTTTGTCTTTAGGCTCAGGGGTTCCTCTGAACACAAACCCCTCTGATGAAGAGTTACTCAATGCTGGAAACTGAGTTCAGCGCAGTTTTTGAAACATTCTGTATAGTGACAGAACAATCAATCATACAGAGAATATTATTTCCATATGCTGGACGTTTTGTGGCAGAACCGCCTGGTGTTGGTTGATCTTACTTGCGAAACACTAAAAGAATGAATTTCTTCAATAGAGGAATGCACTCCAGTGTAACCGAGCTGTGGCTGATGTTTGCATACTCTGTGAATGAGTGGAATATAGATAATGTGCTAATGTGCAGCATTGAGCTCATAAAAACTGCAGTTTGAAATATCAGACCTAAGAAGGGCCGCGCCAAAAGCAAGGCAGGTGAAAGCGATGTACTATTCTCTTTTATCTCGTCTGTGCTTTTGTTTCACACACAGATCTTTTCTCTCACAGGAATCATGTTTTTCAGATGTGTGCGCTGAAAATGTTCTATTGCACTTAAATTAAAACCGAATATTTCCCAAGGATCCTTTTGAAATTTCCTAATAGATTTAGCATTAGTTTGTGACAATGATGCATGTGTTATCAACCAGCTAATCAGCTGAAACATCTGGTTTACACCTGCTCTTAACATCTGTTTCAGACGCTGAATAAACTAAAGTCCAAAATCGTCTCTAATTCAGCCACACTGGGCGATGGTCAAAGCCTTCATCTGTCAGTCAACTACTGAGCTAAAACACGGTTAATAAACATTGCCACACACACACAAAACAGCTGTGCTTTGTGCTGACTGAAGATAAAGAAAAACACAACACAAGCCCTGGCTGAGTTTCTCTGTGTTTCACAATGAAATTCCCAATAGTTTCCTCAGCGTGTTTGGAGTGTGTTTATGGAACAGAGTTCTGGGTGTTTAGTGACTGTGAGAGTTTTATCTGTCCGTGAGGATTAGATGCAGCTCTGGAGAAGGAAATGTTCTGGCTTGTGTGGGTGTGTGTCAGGGGTCCAGAAGAGCCAAATGACCTCATTTCCTGATTTCTGCGAGAGACAGTATTTTATCAACAGGTGTAAGGTTATCTGTCTGTCTGTCTGTCTGTCTGTCTGTCGTCATTGCATTGCAAGTTTTAACTGTAAACTGCTTCAGCGTTTGAGCACATGGAAGTGATTACAGTCTTCTTGCTGAGCGCAGGCATTCAAGCTCGTGCTGGCAGAGATCCCGAAACGAATAATCCTGAAAACTCTCATTTTTTCCCTCTCATAAATGCTTGTTAGTTTTGTCATTTTCGATCACGAGGAAAGAGAAAAGCAACACAGCAGTGCAAATGGATTGGGTGTTTTTTTTAAAAGAGGGGTTAGAGTAGATTTATTTGCATAACGCAACGCATTCTCTGCTTATCACGCTCCCAGAATCCCTTTCCCTCAGCGTCACTCTGTGGGAGCGTAAACACAGGGGAAATCTCACAGGGATGAAGCTTCAGTGACTGAAGACTGTCACTGACTCCAGTAGCTCTTCTCGCTATTTGAATACTGTCAGTGCATTTCATGAATACATTTTTCGATTGCAGGAAACAGTCCACAAAATACAGTTCACCTTCAGTTCATGTGTTTAACTCCCCAGTGTGCATCTGTGCACTTTCACAAATCAATGGTAGCCGTTGGTCAGAATTGTTTGTTATTGACTTGACCTTTCAGCTTAGAAAATAAACCTCAGTGATGCTCTTGTGTCTGAATGTGAGCAAGTCCCTGCATCCGTGTTCAACATCCAGTTACAGGCTTTCCCAGGAGAGCGGGAGCTGCTGTAGCAGCACAGGGAGGCATTC